GAAACGTCAGCCTCTCTGCTCCTATGATGCTGCTTAGCCTGCTGTGTTCATCCAGCCCTGCACCTTGTTGTTTCGGATTCACCAGCATCTGCAGTTCCTACTATCTCTTGTCTTGAGTAATGTTGGGATTCTTCAGTTTTGTTCAATTTGCACCCATTTAGACAAATGGGCAGCATGTCATAATGCTTCCAACATGCACCTTGTGGAGGTAAACCGGCTTTGGGGAGGCTGCAGGTAAGTTACTTGTTGCAGGATTCCTAGCCTTTGATTTGCTTTTGTAGCCATGGTATTTATATGCCTGATCTAGTTCTGATTCTGGTCAGTGGTAAACCCCATGACATTGATAGTGGGGGATAAAATGAAGATAACGCTTTTGAATGTCCATGGACAATGGGTAGTTTCTGTCATGTTGGAAATGGTCAATGTCTACCACTTGTGCAATGTCAATGTAACTTGCCTCATATCAGCTAAATATGGATGTTGTCCACATCCTCCTGTACATGGGCACTGACATAAACACAGAAAATGCTGGAGAAACTCAGCAGGTCTAGCAGCATTTGAGGAGAGAGAAACAGTTAATATTTCGAGTGCAGTACAACTCTTCTTTGGAACTGAAAGAAAGTAATTGAATTGAAAAGTTAACACTGTTTGATTGTTTCCTGCTTACCGTTTGTCCTTTTGGGCTTGATCTCCATGTATTATTTCCGAGATTATGGTTACCACTTATTCCACATGGCCCACCTACTTGCCCTGAACCAGAAATAATAGTGCTTCCTTCCTCATAGAAATTCCAGGCATTGCACATCCTGAAAGGCATTAACCTTTGTAACTTGCTTGTTTGGAAAAGTTTGATTTTGTATTAATCTCCTATGTATTCTGTGATTCCCTTGGTGCAATTGATTAAGTTTGTTTGGAAAAGCATTGACTCTATCTTTTAGGTTTATATTAGAGTATAGCGACCTGATTCAACACAATGGAAGAATGTTTTTGGTATATTCTTCTACGGTGTAGGACTGAGTCTGCCAGGATTAGTTTTCAATTATCATATTCTCACAGAGCTCAACAGGGTATATGCAGAATGTTTTTCCTCAGTCTGAGAGTCTCTGTTATTGACAGATTTTATTTCAGATCTTTACCATCCGCATTGCTTTGCAGTTATTTGTGCTTTTATTTTCTTGTTTTAGTTGGGGGCAGTGATTATACAGAGTTGAAGCATTTGCATGCACTTGGCCGTTAAGTTAGTCCACACTGTCTTTGTGGAGCAATACGCTGTATTGATTGGTTGTGTTTCTTGCTCCATACAGGCTGAGCAGACTGTCAAAGCACTGAAGAACACCAGTCTTTCTGTTGGTGGAGGTGTGCAGTCCAGTATGCTGATTAGAAATAAACCAGTTACAGAAGTGACTGAAGGTTAGTGCATAATTATTGATTAATACACATATTTGTGTTTTTGGTTGAAATAATGGATGAAACAGTGCATTAATCAATTTATATTTTTGATGAATAAATAAAGAATGAATAATAGGCACAGTTGTTGGTCATGTGAATTGAATACTCATATTCATGATGTATGCAATAAATTTTAGCTTTTTGTTATCATTTCGCTTTACATCCCTGGTTATTGGTTTGCTGCTAAAATGGTTTGGAACAAAGAAATCACTGGGCGTTCATCAGCAATATTGTATAGAAAGGAGAGCTGTCATCATGGTAAGCTCAACTAATCAGAATGACCAACCCAAGCCAACAGATGAGAATCCAACCAATAATTATAAGCTCCAACAAGGCAAAAGACACATGGCAAAGAAGCACTCTGTGAAGGGAGAAGAGCAGAGGAGGGTCAGGGTGGAGCAGAAGAGCAGGGATTCACGTAGACAGCACAGAGGAATCTTGGGGTGTGGGACAGGGTCAGCAGGAAGTTTTGATGGAGAGTAGAGAAGAACAGAGGGTCCAGATCTCTTAGGGACGGGCACATGGGGTGAGCAACAGTGAAGGGTCTAGGCCCGAAATGTCAGCCTTCCTGCTCCTCTGATGCTGCTTGGCCTGCTGTGTTCATCCAGCTCTACACCTTGTTATCTCAGATTCTCCAGCATCTGCAGTTCCTACTAACACTAAACGGAAGGCTGAGTTGTGTTGATAGAAAGTAATAGAATGACTAGTTCTATTGATATTTGGATACTGAATGGCTTTAAGCCTTCATTTGAGCTTGGAAGTAGTCTTGATGCAGATGTTGTTTTCAATAACTGGACGGCTCTCAAATTATCCAGTGACTGTGGCACAGATGGTAGGAATGCAAAGTCAGTATCTTGACTGAGAGGCCAAAAGGAGTGATTTAGTATCTTTAGCAACTGGTTAAAAATAGAGTCAGAAGCATGAGAATAATGTTGAAGGTTTTTGACATTTTCTCACGGGTATCTTTCTAGCTCCCCTTTTTCTCGTTATGATGCCATATCTTACTCAGGCTTTTTGTTTTATTTCAGACACTTTCAATTTTTTTTATTCATTGGAGGAATGTGTGTGACACTAGCAAACAATGTTCTTTTTATTTGAGTGAGCAGAACGTTTGTTTAAGTGCATTACCTATTTGAAATATTTTTCCATAGTTGTACACACAATGTAAAGCAACACAACTTTCAAACTGGCACATGGCTGTGTAGCTTAGAGGAAACTGTTGATGACAAGGCTAGCGCTCATTGACCATCCTAATTACTGTTGCTAAGGTGGTGTTGAGTCTGTGTAGTGAGTGCAGTTGAGGAGGGAGTTGCAGGGTTTTGGCCGAGAGACAATGAATAAACAGTGATCTTGTTCCAAGTCAAGATCACGAGTGACTTGGAGGGGAAACCTGCAGATGACGTTGTTCCTGTGCATCCACGGCCCTCGTCCTTCTGGATGGTGGAGGTCATGGATTTGGAAGATATCCTTTGCAAGTAAATCTTGTAGATTGTACACACTTCTGTTGTACAGTATTGAGGACAAATTTGCTTGTGGTACAAAGAAAGGTAGGAAAGCAAATTGTGATGAAGCAAAGTGTCAGTCAAGGGATGCAGCTGGTTAAGTGAGGGGAAAAGAAGCTGGCAGATGGAGTGTAATTTGGGAATATGTGACATTTATCAGAACTGAATAGAGGAGCAGAAAATTATCTTAATGAACAGAGATTGCAGAGTGCTTCAATATAACACAATCTGGGAGTCTCTATGAGTGAATCACAATAAGTTAGCACACAGATACAGCATGTAATTAAAAAGAGGAATGGCATTTCATTAACAAACAGTATCATGTTATAAGTTGCAATTGTTGAGACAACATCTGGAACACTGTGTACACATTTGGTCCTTTTTTTCACTTAAGGGGGAAGTTACCATCATTTAAGGCAGTTCAGAGAATGTTTATTCACCTGATTCCTGGGATGAAGAGATAGAGGGAAGGTTGAGCAGGTTGGTGGCTGTACTCGTTGAAGTTTAGAAGAATGCATGGTCATCTTATTGAAATATATATGATACTGTGGGAGAATGTTTCCTGTCGTGGGGAATTGCAGAACTGGGGAACACAGTTTAAGTGGGTCTTCCGTTTATGACAGTGAGGGGGAATTCCTTCTCTCTGAGGATTGTTACTTTGAAATTCTCTTCCTCGGGGAGCAGTGGTTTATCGTCTAACTCAAGCTTGAAAATATATTCAGACTTTTGATTGAGAAGGAAGTTTATTGTCACAGGGAACAAACAGGAAAGTGAATTTAATGCTCGAATCAGATCAGCCGTTGTCTTATCAAATAGCAGGGCACGCTCAATGTGCTGAATGGCTTACACGTGCTCTTGATTCTCAATAACTTGTGATCAGATGATGCAATGATGGTGGAAGAGTTGAGTGTTTAAGATGGTGGTGTTGGAGCTTATCTGCACTTCAAATAGCATGTTCCATTACCTTTGTAGATGATGGATAGGGAATCAGGAGTTGTGACTCATCACAGAATTACCAGCCTCTGAGCTGTTCTTGTAATCAGTGTTTAAATGTCTGGTCATTAATGACCCCAGATATTAATGGTGAGGTATTCCTTGACGATAAGGACATTAAGTGTAAAGAGAAGGTAGGGAGACCTCTCCTATCTGGAAATGGTCATTTTTGGCACACATGTTGCTTGCCATTTATTATCAAAAACCTGAATGTTACTCGGGTGTTATGCGCACAAACTGCTTTATCTGAAGAGTTATGAATGAAACTGAGCACTATAATCATCAGCAAGGATTCCCACTTTTAAATTTGTGATGGAGGGAACAGCTGAAAATTGTTGGACCGAGGAAACTGCCCTGAGGAACTATTACAGTGATACCTTGTGACTGAGACGATTAATGTCCAATAAACACAACTGTTTTCCTTCATGCTAGAGCTTTCCCACAGATTTCTATTGACTTTGATATTAGCCAGACTTCTTAACGCCGTATTCAGTCAGATCGTTCTTTTCATGTTAAGGGCAACAGTTCTCATCTCACTTCTCGAAGTCATCTCCTTTGTCCATGTTTGGACCAGCCAAGATGTTGCCGATGCCTAGAGCCCTAGCAGTATCCAGCACACTCACCATTTTGTCATATCATGTGGAATGAATGAAATTGGCTACAGCCCAGCATCTGAGATGATGGTGATTTTAGGAGGGTGATTTTAGGAGGATGATCTTTTCTCAACTGCCTGGGGATCACATACTACCTCCTCCCAAATTCTCCATAGCTGCTGGTTAACGTCCTCCTGAAATCCACTCCCCACCTAACTCTCACCTTCCCAAGTGCACAGTAATGATGCCAGCCACCCTTTGTGTTCAGCAATGCTGGGTCCCACTCCAACACCTGGCAACGTGCATTTCTAGTTTTTCCAGGACACCAGTTCTGGAGTTCCGACTTCGAGCAGGATATGCAGAAGATTGGATCCAGTTGTCTTGGCGTGTTAGCTACTGATTATTCCAAATCTGATTTTTTTTTTAATTATTAAGGCTTTTTGACTTTTACTTGTGCTGACAATCTAGCCACTCAAAATCACAAATGTCTTTTAGAAATAGAAGCCCTAACAACTACTGAATATAGTCATCAAGAAACGATCCACTAACCTAAAGCTAACCACCAAAAACCCAATCGATGAATTAATGACCTGCTTGTAATTTGCTCCCATTGCTGCTCTGTATTGTGACATCACTTTTTTTTTGATTTTTTTTGTATGAATATTGACCTAATTTTGTTTTCTTCAGAGGACTACTTACGCTATGCTCATGGTTTGCTGTCAGATTATATTCCTGCAGATCTAAGTGTGGAGCTACTTAAGTTCTTGGAGTAAGTATGTAAGGGTAAAACACTGATATATGGTTAAAAATTATTCAATCTTTGCCACTTTGGATTTATTTCTTCGCTTCAAAACTGTTGGCTACTAATTTGATTATTATGCTAATAGAGTACATTCACCACTACCTTCACTGTACAGACTTGCTTGGGTAAACTGTTGTCAATTATAAAGGTGCCACCTATAACTTATTGTACTATTCTGGAAGGTACAGTAAGTATTGGAACAACATCAAAGGTTTTAATAGGGCCTTGGATGTTGAAATGTATCCCATGGTTTTTCACAGAACTATGTTAACAAACTCTGACAGCGTCGATAGTAAGACATGATCAAAGCTGGGTAAAGGGGTTGGTTTCAAGCAGCATTTTGGAGGTGGTGATGAGAAGCAGTGGAAAGATTTAGGGAGAGAGTTCCAGAACGTGGAACACAAATGGCTGAAGGCATAGCTACCAGTAGTGATGTTATATAGAACAGAGATTTGCAGTAGGAAAGAGGAGCACAGAGATCTTGGAGGGGTGTAAGACAGGGGAATGTTAAAGGATTAGGGGATAGGTGAAAACGAGGATGAAAATTTCAAGGCATTTGTGGACTGTGAGGCAGTGTAGGCCAACAAACCTTGGTGATAGTGAACAGAGGTTGGTGTAAGTTGGAAAGGAGGCAACATTGTTTGAGATGAGCTGGAATTTATGGAGGAGAACAGCTCTCCAGTAGCAGTTAAAGTTAACGGAGGCACAGTTATTAATTGTGGCAGCAGTTTTACTGAGACCATGATGTAGCCAGGTAATGTTGCATAGGTCAAAGTAGGCATTCTTAGTGATGGTACAGATGTGTGGTCTGAACCCATCTCGGGATTTGACACAAGACCAAGGCCTCCAAACAGTTGCCAGGGCTAGGAATAGAGTTGGTGGAGAGGAAATGGAGTTTCTTGAATTATAGTTTTGATTTCTCAAAATTTAATGGGCAAGAATTTCTGCTTATCCAACACTAGATGTCAGACAAGCTCTCTGGCAGATTCAGGACAGTGGAAGAATCGAGAATGGCAGTGGTGAGGTCGGGTACCATCAACTTGCGCTGAAAACTAAAGTTATGTTCTTAAATGATGCTGAGGAACGACATAGAGATGAGAAATGGATGGCACTAAGAATAAATCCTTGAGGGACTCCCAAGAGTGGCAGGGTGGTAGCAGGAAGAGAAGCCATTGAATTCTCTGGATTGAGAGAGAGATAGAATGGATCTAAACGAGTCTCGCCTACCTGGATGTTGATGGAGATTTATTGGGAAGAGGATGATGGGATCGATGCCATTAAAGACTGTAACCAGGTCAAGAAGTATGAGGAGGGATATCATGCATTGGATTTCATTTGTGATGCTAAAACGAAATGTTGTGGATGATAGAATCTGACATAGAGTCAAAAATTGCTGGAAATGCTCAGCAGGTCTGGCAGCATCTGTAAATGCAGAAACAAATTTGATGTTTCAGGTCCATGATGTGTTCTGACAGAACATCACAGATTTGAAAAATGAACTCTCTTTCCATCTTCACGGACACTACCAGGCTTGCTGAGTATTTCCAACATTTCCTGTTTTGGAATAATAACTGCACTACCATCTTAAATTGACTCTGAAGCTTTTTGAGACATTCTGAGGTCATGGAAGATGGTTTGTTTAATTCTTGCTTTAACAAAACTGCTGAACCACCTTTAAACTACAGCCCCACACGTGACGTTAATATTCGTAACTTCTGTGGTTTTGCTTTTATATTAATATTTATATTTCTGTTTGTTAGGTTACCAGCTGTTTCAACAAAAACGGCAGTGGGTGAGCCACCATCAAAGGTTTGTTTCTGTTTTATCAGTCACTGTTTTTGCTGTTGAAGGCATTTTATAAAAATCCTAAAGCAGTAGCTTTTAACACACTTATTCTCTCAATCACTCTTTCATTTCCTACCATCATGACATGCGAACAAATAAAATAACTAATCCCAAATCTACCTCCTGATACAAATAAAGCTAAATTGCTGGTGAATTAACGTACAATGGAGAAAGGCAACAGAGTGGTCTTCTCTGTTATTTCACTTGTTTGTGAAAATACCCATAAAAGGCTCTGTTCCCAATGTTCACTTTTGTGAGAATGAAAGATTGTGTTCCCCACTGTGTAACAAACCTACTTTCTTACTAACCTTAATCGAAAATGCACCCAGTAGTACGTAAATGAGGAATCGCTGATGACTAGCACAAGCAAAAATACTGTTACTTATTTTTTTTTAAAAATCATCCCTATACTGATGTAATTCTGACTTAAATGTTTGGTAACTTCATATTATAGTAAAGTTTAGTGCTCAATATTCTAGAATTGAAGGATTTCTTCAAGTATTTGAAGAGCTTGCATGCCCACTGCTGATCTTATGTTCTTGTATAACATAATTTCCATTGTTTGGAGGGGAAAAAAATGGTTTCTACAGCCGGAAAAGACACTGCTTTATAATAAGTTATCGCTGGTCGTGTGGATAAGATTTTGTTCTGTAAAACCATTTAGTTGAATATCTGCTTAAAGGTCACTAATGCATGAGTTGTCTGAAGTTGGCACTTGAGTGAGATCCACCCATCATGCATTTTAGAGATTGTTTTGGCAAAGAGCTTTTCTTTTCCTGAAATGAAGCTCACATCATGTCAATGTCGCACACCTTGTTGAACAAAAACCTCGTAAACTGCCATTACAGAAAAGGAAACTATCAGACAAACCAGTGGAGGCTGAAGAGGACTATACCAAGTTCAACTCTGATTCAAAAGAGAAAAAGGTGAGGAGCTTCCTCATTTGATACTCTTCCAGCTGTGTTATTGTTTTAACTGCACTTAACATCAGGATCTGCAGGGAAGTTGAATCTCAAGTATTTTAGATACTTTAGAATGTATTCTATTGGCTTTGAGAAGCTAATTTGCAGTACTGAGCTACACAGTCCAAATTCCTAGATTCCTTTCCTATTATAAGAAAAAGTAGAAAATTGTAATAAGAATAAGCTGTTGAACTGATTGAGCCTGCTACTTCCTGAAGTATGATTATAGCTAATCCTGTATCTCGACAACATATCCCTGCTCTCTCCATAGATTTCTAGACACCATCTGTGTCAAGGGGTATATCATTTTCTTTCTTAAATATATTCGGTAACTTGGCCTCCACAACCTTCTGCATTGGCAAATTCCAGAGATTCACCGTCGCCTTCTGCGTGAAGACGTTTCTCCTCATCTCAGTCCTAACTGGTTTGCTGTGTATCCTGAGAGCATTGCCCTATTGTCGACCACTACCACTATCCCCTACACCTCCACAGCCAGGGAGGTGCATGCAGTCAGCCCATTGAATACAAGCCAAGTGAACCCAATCTCTCTTCACATGACAAACTGAATCTCTCTTCACATGACAAACCCAAGGAATCAATCTTGTGAGCCTTTGCACACTGCCTGTGGCAAGTATATGTTTCCTTAGGTAAGGAAACCAAAATTGCTCTCTGTATTGTAAAACTGCAGCAAGACTCCCTTGCTCCTGCACTCAAGCCCTCTTGCAATGCAAGCCATATATCATTCACCTTTTTAACTGCTTACTGTACCTGATGCTTGCTTCCAATGACCATTGAACAAAGACACCCAGGTCCCTTTGTACATCAACATTTCCCAATCTATCACTATTTAAATAATACTCTGCCATTGGTTTGCCAACTGAAGTAGACAGCCTCACACTTCTCCATGTTATGCTGCATCTGTCATATCTTCACCAACTCACGCAATGTGCCTAAGTCACCTTGAATTCTTTATTTCCTCCTCCCAACTCTCTCGATTTTTCCTAGTTCTGTGGCATTGCCAAATTAAGGAAATATTACATTTGATTCCCTCTTCTAAATTTTGATATATATTGTGAAAAGCTGCAACCCAAGCACTGATTCTTGTGGTAACCCACTAGTCATTACCTTCCCTTCTAAAAATTACCCACTTATTCCTTCTTTGCTACCTTATTCTCAGTCCATGCCGGTATATTACCCCTGATTCCATGTGCTTTAAATTTGCACACTAACCTCTTATTAGGGACTTTATCAAAAGTCTTTTGAAAATCCAAATACACCACATCCATTGATTCTCATTCTCTATCCTGCTTATGTCCTCAAAAAAAATCTCCAGTAGATTTGTCAGACCTGATTTCTCTTTCATAAATCCATGTTGACTTTGTCTAATCCCATTGATGTTTTCTGAGAATCCAAAGATCCCAGGTTCCCTCCCCAGTCAATGTGAAGCTAAACCCAGCCTGGAGTTAATTGGCTTGATTGCACCTGAACTAATGAGGCCATTGGTCATTGACCATTTTGATATTCAAACTCCATTCAACTAGTTTGCAATCCCTTAAAGAATTTGTAAAACTGTTAATACTTAGGAGTAGGAGCTTATATAGCTAAGGGAAACAACAGACTTTAGAGGCACAATATAATCCTCAGCAAAGTTTTCTGCAGGCTAAATTGAAGCCCTGTTTTATTTTGGTAAAACAGTGATCTCCATAATCACAGCTGTTGGACAATGATTTTTGATGAAAGTCAGGCATGCCATCTTTGGTTTGACTAAACATTTTATAAGAGTTCACCTAGGACTGGCATATCTTCTTGAAATGTTCTAATTTTGAAACCTGCTAGTTATCACTTTCAATGCATTACAAGATTTCTGCCAGTGGCTTTGTCTGAAGTTGCAAAAGATGAAATAAGTTGTGGAAAACTTCGGTTGGGGAGGAGGTTGGCTGGAGAGTAGTGATGTTTAATACCATTAGATAATAAAGATGATACTCTCACCCAGGGGAAAGACAGAGGAGCAGGTTTTGGAGGCTTTAGGAAATAAGTTACTAAAGCCAGCCAGATAGTGTGCAGCAACAAATAAGATATTGGGCTGTGTTACCAGAAGAAGAGTCTAGAAGTGGTGATAGTTTGCACAGAACCCCAACTGGAGGACTAAGTACAGTCCTGGGCACACTTTTACATATTATTGGAGAGGCTGCAGTGAAAGGCAACTAAATTGATCAATGAGATTGAGCATCTGATTAATGAGGCAATACTATAGATGGTGGGGTTATTTCACTTCGAAATAAAATCTATCAACATAAAGTACAAGACACGAAAGGTTTTACGAGGTGTACGGTTTTCATAGCCAAACAAAACAATCTGCAATGCCCTTATGTGGAATGCTGCATGTATGACATTAATTCATCCCCTTGGGAAGTATGAGCCATCATGAAAAACAGCGAGTACAGATGGATCATATATTTACTTAAAATCCTGGAATTTTTTTTTGAAAGAATTGAAGGCAAAGTAAAAGGACACAACCTTGAGAAAGAGATACGTTTTTATACATTACATTATACATGAGAGTGCCCTCTGAAAGATGTCCTGAACACGATCACAGTATTGACACCGTGGTGGAAATTGTGAACTGCATAAGAGTGAGGGCACTTAAACATCATTTCCTCCTTTAAGAACTCCAGTAAGTATGTGAGCTCAGAGATGCAATTTGCACATCTTTGGAGATGCAGGAGCAAGAAAATAATTTTCTGGAATTGTGGAATTCCAACTGGGAATGTGGCCTTTTTTGTGTGGATATCTTGGCACATTACATTAACGTAATGTGAAGCTGCAGTTCAAGAACGTGTGCATAAACATGTTGTATTCTACTGCTTTCGAAGTCAAGTCAATCATGCTGTCAAAACAAGTGAAGAGCTTCAAGTTTGCTGATGTTGCAACACAAATATTTAGAAGTGCTGCTAAAGCGGAGAAGTACAGCAAAATTTGGAGTGTTAAATGGCCTTTGATTCTGTGATGATGGAGAAGAATCAGGAGCTGGTGCTAACCGTGCTGTCACTTGATTATGGAAAGTCCTTCGAGAATTAGAAGTTGAGTTCATTGATCTTTGGTACCCTTCCACCTTCCAAAAAAAAAGACAGTTTAAAAAAACTGTATGAGTTTTATACCTCCGTGAGCGAAACTAGGATCCCAAATATCTGCCAGATGGTACAGAAATTCCTTATTTTGTTCAGCTTCACCTATGTACGCAATCAAATATTTTCTGAGCTGAAATACAACAAATCTTGCTATAGGTCCCAGATAGCTGACCAACATCGAAGCTAATTTATTGCGTATTTTTACAACAAGAATTACATCAGATCTTGAAGCCACTGTAAAGAGGGGTGACAATCTGCATTGTTCATATTTAAGCAAGAAGTGTATGAAACAGAATAAGTTTGGTTTCGTTATTGTAACGTGTCATAATAGTGGTATAGTTACAATAAGATTTTGTTTATTTCTACAAAAATGTATTTTGACACTAGTTTGAATAAATTTTGATAATTGTCACAGTCAGATGGAGAATTACTGATGATTCAGCGAAACTAATAATATTTAAATGCAAAATAGTTAACAACAAAGAAACAAGTATGCTTTTATGTAGTGCAGTACACTGAAAAGTTTTAGATGCAATATCGTTTTTCCCAGCGGGGGCTAAATATTCACATGGTAAAATCAACAGCAACCGAATATTGCAGTTTTCTAATAACATTTGTTGAATGTAAAAATAAAATTGTTGTCTTTGTTTGATCATGAATGTTTCAATTCTTGACCATTTATGGCACGCCCACACCATTGTCAGAGCCAGAGGTGGGCCTGGAGCCAAAACATTTGCCCTGCTGTGGGTTAAGGAGCCGTGGCAGAGGGACTGTAAGATTGGCTCTGGGGCAGAAAGCAGAAATTAGTCATGACTCGTGGACCAGAATTCAACCTTCTTCCGAGATTAAAAGCAGGACCACTGGTCTTTTTGAT